TGTGTGTGTGTGTGTGTGTGTGTGTGTGTGTGTGTGTGTGTGGGTGGGTGGGTGGGTGGGTTTGAATGTGTGCATGTGTGTGTGTGTGTGTGTGTACCCCCGAACAGCTTTTGTCTAGTGGCCCTTTGCCTATGGATATATATGTGTACTACCAAGCCACAAGATTGGTACCCGGGAGGATTGCTTTCACGTCATTAGGTCATAAACTCTGTCAGATTCAGAGAGAAGTCAATACCTGCCCCCCTGCTGCAGCAATGATCACCATAATAAACGGCAATAAGGACAGTGGCAATAACAGGCCCAACTCACATCACAATATTTCTTTCTTGTCTGTGTTGGCCAGGCAACTCTGACAGAGCTGATCCTTACGAAGCTGCAGGAGAAGAGCGGATTGGGGTCGTTGGCAACATCATGACATCTCTGAAATTGGGGATGCAGTATATCCAGTTAAGGACGTATCTTTCCACGTTCTAGCAGGAGATTAATTCTTTATTTTGCACATTCCGTGAGTAGTGCGTCAAGGCTCCAAGTCTCTTTCCCCCTCAAAATACACCTCATGTGAGAGGACAATCATTGACATAACACAGATGGGTCCTTTCTTCAGGCAGAAGGATAGAGACTTTACATCCCTCTGGATTCTGGACATCGGGGAGAAGGCTGCTCTCTTACCTGAAAGGCTGAAACACGCAGAGGTCCTTTGTACAGGTATGCCGCGTTCTGGCAATGTGGTTCTCTGCTATATGTAAACTCAAAACTACTTTTTTTTTTTTCTTTTAATTCCTTCAACGTTTTCATTTGAATATTTGCTACTACCACCAAGATCTGCACCGGAACCCGCTTCACCTAGGCTCACTCTCCAGTCTTTGCAGCAGGCCCCACGCCCTCCTACTCATCGCGGCATGCATGAGAAAACACTTTAACTACATCGTTATTTTGAGTTTTAACTTCCCACGAAGGATTATAGTCATAGTAATTTGGATATCGGTGCTTCACACAGAGGATTAGACTCGTTGTAATTGGAACAGCAACTTGAGATCTCTCCTGTATCTGGATGTCAATCATGTCATTGCTTCCCATCGGAGGCTTGCATGCACAAGGATTGTCATCGTCATCATCATCGGACGCTTGCATGCAGAAGATCCTCAGCATAATTAGCATCATCGTCATCGTCATCATCATCGGACGCTTGCATGCAGAAGATCCTCAGCATAATTAGCATCATCATCACCACCATTATAGTCATAGTGATCATTCATTGTAGTTCTCACTGTCTTCCTCCTCCTCCTCCTCCTCCTCCTTCTCATCATCATCATCATCATCATCATCATCATCATCATCATCATCATCGTCATCATCATCATCATCATCTCCATCATCATCATCGTCATCGTCATCGTCATCGTCATCGTCGCCGTCATCTTCATTGCTACATCACCCTCATCACTCTCTGTCCTCATCCTCCTCCTCATCATGGTCTCCATCATCATCATCATCATCATCATCATTCATCGTTCTCGCTGTCCTCGTCCTCCTCCTCATTGTCTCCATTATCGACATTGTCTCCATCATCATCATCGTTGTCATCGTCATCGTCCGGGTCAGAGTCAACATCAGCGTCAGAGTCATCGTAATCATCTTCTGCATCGGCATCATCATCGTAATCATTCTCACTGTCCTCTTCCTCCTCGTCGTCATGGTCTCCATCATCATCATCATCAGCAGCAGCAGCAGCAGCAGCATCACACACACGGTTAACAGGTGTTGTTATTTTGGGCCTTCCATTAACCATCTCTCAGAGAATCCTATCATGGAAGTTTGCCACTGGGTGGAAGAGGGGATAGTAGACTTTGGTGAGCTTGCCCTGTAGCCGTGCCTATTAGGCCATATCCATAAATGCATGGCATGTATAGGGTTGTGTTTGTGGTATTGAGATTCATCCCATTTCTCAGAGCTCTTCCTGCCTGTCATTCTTCTTGTGGCCTGGTTCTCTATTCAGTTGATATCCCCTGTAAGGCTTGGGTGCCAAATTTAGAAGGCCCCTCTCGTACTGGAAAGAGTCAGAGGTCCACTTCCGATCTGTGAGCAGAAGCTATGGCAAGGATGCATGGCAGGGCGGGGTGCCGTTCCATCAAACGAACGAGAAGATGTCCAGCGGTGCCCCGGTATTCAACAAGGCCCCTCTCTTATACCCTAAAGAGTCAGAGGTCCATCCCCAGAACAGCAAAGAGGAATTTGACATCCCACAGGCCAAAGTGGTCGGTCCGTCCACTTCCGACCTGTGAGCAGAAGCTATTGCAAGGAAGATGAGAGATAGCGAGATGACAGACTCCAGATAGCACAATCACATTGAAAGCAAGAAAGTCCCACAGTGTCCAGATAAGCAGCATTGCACCAATATTACACCAATGGAGATTCGAAACACCGAAACCGAATGTCAATGAGAGCTTTACTCTCGTCCCCACCAACATACGTCTCCAGGCCCTGTGAGCAGAAGCTATGGCTAGGGATGCATGGGAGGGCAGGGTGTCGGTCCATCAAACGAATGAGAAGATGTCCGGTGGGGTGCAGGTGTGTGGCCAACTTTTGCACCTGGCTGCACCCCTCTCCCCTGTATGAGCTTGTCTGGGATTCCAGAATCACNGTTGTGAACACTAAGAGCAGCTTGGTAAGATTATTCTCAAGGAGCCGAGGGGGAAGTTGAGGGGTGTGGCGCTGAAATGTAATGAAGAGCCCTGGATACGAACTCCCAAATGTGTTTGCGAGCTAACTGTTCCTTTGTGTGGCAGATATGAGAGGAGGCAGCTGGCAGAGACTCTTCTGGCAACTATGTTTTCAATGAGTGCGCTCCTGAATCCCAACTTCCTGAAGCCATTTATGCAAACCCTTGTATCAGCTGCAATAGGAAACATCATTACAGCCTCCACTGGATCGGGCTTCGCTGACAGCTCAAGGCAACCCAGCGAAGGAGAGACGGAGCCTGATGCTGATGTTATGGAGCCACAAGCGGAATGGCTACGCTTGATGGCTCTTACTGCCATCAAACAGTCAAGGAGAAGTGGGAAGGCAGGGGCAACCACATGTCAAACCACAGGTCCGCAGACAAGGAATCAGGAAGGAGGGAGGGAGTGCTCGGAAGATGGACTCGATGCAGATTCCACAACTGGTAGGCTGCCTTTTGTTTTGCCTTTTTGTGCTCCAGTGTTTCCCTACTATCTCGGCTGTTGGCTGTGGTCTGAGACGTAGCCTGTACCCCAGTGTGGTGGCGTAAGTTTTTAGTCTTTGGTGCCGAGTCGTCGACTTATTATTCACTTCGATGACTGTCTTCCAGGACCATTTGGTTGTCTACTTTGAGCTGTCTGATTTCGTTATCTTGTCTGCATTCTAATCTTGGATCTCTATCCATCACTCTGATTTTCCGGAGATCGATGGATGTTCTTCCTGCTACCTCTACTTCTGAGTGTCTTCTGCATGGTCTTTTGTGCCTACAGCCCATTCCTTGTTGGCTCCCTCCAGTGCATATATTTTTGCCCCCTGTTTGTGGCGGTAGGCCCAAGACTTTTGGGTCTGTGCTCCAGGCTTAGGAAAATGTGTTCATTAGCTGGCTTCGCTTCAGGGGTAGTGGTGGCTTAAATCGATCCTGACCCTAGGGGGTCCTGTGCCCAGCTACCGTCCCCAGTTCCAATAGGACTGGAACCGAACTGACGCTTCCCAGAATGGACATGGAGCCAGGGCCTTTAGGCTCTGTTTTTATATATTGTCAAACAGAGGTACCCAGTAAACCGCAGGCAGAGAAGGAGAAGAGGACAACAAACGAGGGGCTGTGACAAACTGTGTCGTCAGAGTTTCACCGACTCGTCAGGAGGCTGAACCCTCAACAGTCTGCAGAATCCCCTAACTGATTACACTGTAATTGATAATCCACCTTAACACTGGTTGTGGTTAAGCATCAACGACTGCCCGACAACCGATACCCTGAGGTGGGCATCGTCAAACAGAGCTGCCCGGTAAACCGTAGGCAGCGAGGGAGAAGAGGACAACAAACGAGGGGTGACAATATATGTTAAAAAAAAGAAAAATGTGTCCTTCGGGACATCCATTAAAATTGGAACGATACAGAGAAGATTAGCATGGCCCCTGCGCAAGGATGACACGCATAAATCGAGAAATGGTCCATTTTTTTTAGAAATTAAAAAAAAAAAAGATCCTGACCCAGCTACCTTCCCTTGGATCATGCTTTACTTCCTCAATTCTTATACCACCAGTATGTTTCCCATTGGGGGACAAGGGCA